CCACCAGAGGGAGCCAGGATCACTTTTATATTGGATTTCAAAATAAAAGCCCGGAGGTCTCTGAGCGGCAGTGATTGGAAACACAGAGGAGGAAATAAAAGAGGAGCTCTCACTCCTCCTCTGGGTCTGGAGACCAGAAACATGTTGGTTCATGTTCAGAGTCACGTTCTCACTGCTGCGCATGTCCTGCGTCTTCATTAGACTCCAGAGCTGCTAAACTTTAAAACTAAACAAATGAATCTACACCTGAAATGATGTCATCAGTAATAAACACACAATAAGTTTGGAGACTGGCACTGTGGGTTTTTTTTTTTCTTTTACAGATGAAAGCTTCAAAAACTGTCCCTTAAAATATTGAACTCTTAAAATGATTCTAAAACAATTTCTACAATATTTATTCAAAAACATTCCCACAGAACAACTTTTTCCATTTTAGTTCAACAGTGTCCAGATCTAAACCCTGAAACGTTTCAGTTTAGTTTATTTTAATGTCTTTTTATTTATTTCCACACGCAGGGCTGCAGCTGATGTCTTTTAATTAATCTGTCAATTATTTCCTTAATTACTGTTTCATCCAAAGATTCTCAATTTACTGTCACAGAGAGAAAAACAAAAACAAAACAGAAAAATATTCACATCTAAGAAGCTCATATTACATCATATAGATTTTCTTTAAAAATGCAAAGAAAGAATCAATGATGAGAATAGTTGATGATGACTTCATCAGTTGGCAGCTCATTGATTGTTTTTATACAAACAAATAAGAAATTTAGATCAAGATATTTAAATTAAAGTGGAAACTAATTCAAGGAATCTATTAACGGCGCTTAATTTAATAATTTTAATGAACCTTTTAAATTCTAAATGTTATTCCTGATGAGCTGTAATATTATTGATTTTCATGCTAACTTAATATTCTGTATCATTCAAACTCAAATTTCTCCTTTAGTTGACTTAAAACTGAATTCAAGTTGAGATAACTTCATATAATTAACTTGATAACTATTGTTTTCTTTAACTTGAGGTCAGGATTTCAGGGTTCTGTCTCTGGAGCGACTTCATCTGTTTTAAAGCACCAGAACCTGTATTCATGGTTCTGGCAGCTCAGTAGAAAACACTTCACATTAAATTTACACCAGTTAATTAATGTTAGCGTAATCAACTTAAAAATATGCGTTTATGCTACAAACCATCGAAAATGTCTTTGATTGGAGAGAAAACGAGAATTCATCAAACTCAGTGTCTCATTGGCCGGAAATAAATGAGATAAAACTCAAATAAATAATCAGATATTGTTCAGAAATGAAATAAATAAAATAAAATGGAAAGTAAAGAGTAATGCTGGCAATGACTCTGAGGTCAAATCACACATGATGATTAAAGATCACACCTGAACAATGAAATATTTCTCATGATGTTTATAAATGAAAGTGAATTATGGCACAAATGTTGTATTAGAAGCTGGCATAGCTCACAGGGATCAGTGCAAACTCTTTAAACTTGTTCTCATGTAAATGCACCAAGCAGCAGCTCTGCCTGAAGACCTGAAGCAGTCAAAACACAAAGCTGTGCTGCAGGTTCTGCAGACTTCAGCGCAGCTGCCTCGTTCAAAACTCCGATTAGAAAACGTCCAATTTAAACTCCAGCTGCGTTTAAAGAAACCTGGAGGCTAAAACGAGGCTGAGCGCATGTCGGTCCTCTCCTGCTCATGCAGACCCGCTATTCGGCGGTTTGTTTTGAGCCCCAGAGTGAAGCATCCCGGGATCCACAGACGATCTGTGAGCGCTGCTGCTCTCCTCCGCCGTCAAACAGCCACAAACCGCAGACCGAGCGAGCGCCGAGCCGACGAGTACCGACGCCTGCGAGCGCTGCCGAAAAACGCTGGGAAATTACGCCTGTCCGTCGCGGGATTCTTCTGGGAGTTTGTCCGCGAACAAGTACGATGAAATAGCGTCGAAAGGAGCAGAAACTTCAAGGGGAGAAATTAAAGAAATAAGGAGAAAAGAAAAGGTAAGACCGAAGCAAAAAATCCAAAAGTTCATTCCCAGGGTTCCCACTTTTGAGCTTCGTC